TTTATCAAAATTAATATTATAGCCAGGGAGAGATCCCAAATTTTGAATGACTGACATCAACATGGGAGTAGATTTTTTTTTTTTCCAATTTTGAGATGAAGAGAAGCATATCATCGGCTTGCAAAACTATTGTAGGGAACTGAATCTATTTAAAGTCCTTTTATACTATGATACGGTCTCCTTGTCAGTTATATCTCTCCAGTGCATATTCTGAAGCGCTAGAGCCATTTAAAAGGACACAGGCGCTAGGTAAAAGATGGATAAGTTTGACAAAATTACAAAGCTTTCTCCAAGTCCAAACTTTCCTAAGACCTCAAATAAATAAAGCCACTCTACTCAAAAGCCTTCTCTGCATTCAAGGAAAGGAGTTCAGTTTTATTTAAATAGCACAAAATCGGAACAACAGCTGCCTCACAGTGCTTTTATTGTAAAGACCATACAATAATACAAAGAAAACGGCAACCATCAAACGACTCTCTGATCAAACATTTGGCGACAGTGGGAAGGAAAAACCTCCTTTTCATATTAAGAAACCTCTGGCAGAACCAGGCTCAGGGCAGGGTAGCCATTTGCCGCCACCTGTTGGCGTGATGGAAGGAAAAGGCAACAAAAGACACACTTATTACATCCAACATGGTGCATAACTTTTGAGCAATGTTCACATGGTGTCACGAGAGAAAGCTCTCTGTCCTGTGGCACCATCATCATGCCAGAGTGATGTAATAACTGAGCCTGATGCTCCAGGAACACACAGCCGTTAGATTGAGATTGCCCAACAATTAATATAAGATGTAACGCATCAAATACTATTTTAATTGCATTTAACACAGGCTTTCTGTAGGACTTTAAAACAATGTAATCAACTCCATTAAGTGTCCCAGTAAGCCATTCACACATCATATGAACAAGCCTTTGGTGCCATTATCAGCTACACCTGCACTTTGTCTTGTTAAAACAGAAGACGTTGATATTATGTAATCGTGAATATTTCTGATGCGTTTTACAGCAACTTCAAGAGCGCAGTGAAGACCTAGACGACAGAGAATGTCTGAAACAGGCGCTTACAGCTCTGCTTAACCTTCAATCTAGCATGGAGCGAATTTATGCCAAACACCAGCCTCGACGTAAACCTGGGTACGTCTCCTTACTATTAATAAGCAATAAAGACTTATGTTTGTCTACTTATATTTCAGTGGTTCAGCATTTAAAAACTTGTGCACTAAGCTTTGGGGTTTTCTGACCAAACTTTATTCCTCCCTCACAGTGAGCCAATGTATCGTCTGTATAGCAGGCAGATTCGTAGCAAACAGCTAGCCATCAAACGCATGAACGAGATCCAGAAAAGCATCGACGGCTGGGAGGGGAAAGACATCGGTCAGTGCTGCAGCGAGTTCATCTTGGAGGGCCCGCTTATACGTGCAGGTGCTAAACATGAGAGACACAACTTCCTTTTTGATGGTCTGATGATCAGCTGTAAGGCCAATCAGAGTTCACGGCTCCCGGGAGCGGGTAGCGGGGCGGAGTTCCGTCTGAAAGAGAAGTTTGTTCTGAGGAAGGTCAGCATTACGGACCGCGAGGACTCGCCAGAGCTGCGGAACGCTTTTGAACTGGTAGCCAAAGATGATACCCGTGCCGTATTCTGTGCTCGGACAGCAGAGGAGAAGGAAGCGTGGATGGCAGCGCTGGTGACTCTGCAATACCGGTCTACTTTAGATCGCATGTTGGACACGGAGCTGCAGCAAGAGGAGCAGGCACAGCCTCTAAGACTGCCCTCTCCAGAGGTGTACCGTTTTGCGGTGCAGGACTCTGAGGAGAATATAGTGTTTGAGGATAAAGTGCAGAGCAAAACAGGAATCCCCATCATTAAAGCCGGCACAGTGGACAAGCTCATAGAGAGGCTCACATACCATATGTATGCTGGTAAGCTGCTGCATAAGCTTCGCTAGTGGCAATGAATATTTTAATTTCCTTTATGTTTATCATCTGTTTGATCTTTTTCTAGATCCCAATTTCGTTCGCACATTTCTTACCACATACCGATCATTCTGCAAGCCGCACGAGTTTCTCACCCTGCTGATAGACAGGTTCAGTCTTTTCCGTGACTACAGTAATTCTTTTGCTATAATTCGTGATTTTGCACAACTGTAACTGACGTCAGGGTACACCTGATCATTTCTTTTCTCAGGCTTACGATTCCTGATCCAGAACCAACAGACGAAGACAGACAGATACTGATGACCAATGATCATCCGATGGTAGCCCAGCTCCAAAGGTTCCGAAAGGAATACGTACAGCCGGTCCAACTCAGGTGAAAAATTTGCTCATGTGCAAGTTAATTGTGTATTTGAGTGAAAGT